AAGTGAGAATCACTCATTAAAACATTAGAGTACATTTAGGGAAATATTACCCCACCTAAACTGGGAGTTGAATTTTAAGGTTAAAAATCTGTTTCTTCCAGTCAGGGCACATGCCTGGGTTGCAGGCCAGTTCCCATCAGGGGACACAAGAGAGGCAACTGTACATTGATATTCCTCTCCCTCTCTCCTTCCCTTCCCCTCTAAAGATAAATCAATACAATCTTTTTAAAGATCTGTTTCTTTATTGCTTTTTAATTATTCCCAATTTCCTAGAAGAAGTGGTAGTTGTGTGATTAGGGATTTACATACAGGAGAACTAATCCCATCTTATAAACAATACCTACAGAGATCAGTGTTAGCTAGTGTTTGACAAGTTAAAGGTTTTGAAATGAGGTGGATTGAAGAAAGCTTTAGGTACTGGCCGTGGTACATCAACCTTGGCTCAAAAGTATGGAAAATGTATTCTCATTAAGATTTTGCCTTTCCTGAAAATCAGAAGTAAGTTTTCACCATGAACTCCCTAAGGGAATGGGAATTCTCTGATTCCACAGTTACAGTGTGGCCCGTAACGTGGTGGCAATTTCAGAACTGTGTTGTGTTAGACTGTAAAATAAGCCAGCACAATTCTGCAGAACACTAAAGCACGACTTTGAGGATGGAACGCAGAGAGGGCTTTGATCAACAAAGGGCCTTGCTAGGCTCCTCCCTGTCTGTCACAACTGATTCATGTCAAACTATAGCTGTCTGTGATGATTGCTCACTTCCTGAGGCAGGTCCTCCCTCTACATTCTTGTAGGCACTTAGGGGGAACATCAGCATGCATGTCTTCCTCAGTCTTTTGTTTCTTCAAAATAACCAGCTTAAATAATCACTATCCCCCAAATTGTGTTTTTGTGGTGGCAGACTCTGCTCCCCCACATTACAACACAAGGACTGCCCAATTTCCTGTGACTACAGGGCAAAGGATAACGTTACATATTTATAGACATTCAGTATAAAGTAAATATATATTCATTCCTGTTCTCTCCCCCCCCCCTTTTTTTTCTGTTAGAAAGCACTAGTGGGGAAGTACACACTTAACTTGGGCCTTGGCTTCTGTAGGTGCAGTTCTCATAGGCCTCCATGTGTCACTGGTTCATGGAGCCAAAATTCTCTGAAGTGGAACCTGACATATACTATGACAGCCTCTTTTCCGGTTGATTTCCAGATCCAAAGCATTCCTCCCAGTACCCCCCTGAGCCCTCACAGGTTTATGGACCAAAGATATACATTACTTCCTCAAACTAATTATCACTTGTTCGCTGAGATCTTAGAAACCAGACTCAGATTTCATATCAGCTGGCCTGGCATTGAACAATGACCAGCTTTAATTGTGCACAGCAATGCAATTTGTAAAACACCACCACAGCCATTCTGCAGAGCTGCTTTCTGGTCACTGCTCCACTTCACCATTAGTATATCATTTGTACAAAAGTGTAAAATTAATGCAGAGTAATAAATCTCTCTAAGGACTGAACAGTTCACCTAACTTAACCTTAAAATAACCCAAAAAACTAAGCAAACAACTAGAACTGGAACAGAGCCACAGAAATGGAGATCACAGGGATGGGTTATCAGTAGGGAGGGGGAATAAGAAGCATAATTGGTAGGTACAAAATGGACAGGGCGAGGTTAAGAATTGTATAGGAAATGGAGAAGCCAGAGAACTCATATGTACGAGTCATGGACATGAACTAAGGCAGGGGGATGCTTCAAGGAATGTGGGTACCAGACAGAGAGGTAAAAGGGAAAAATGGGACAACTCTAATAGTATAATCAATAAAATATACTTAATAAAAATGAAATAAAATCATATTCATGAAGTGCAAAATTAATTGCATTTGAACAGGTATGTGAGGTTATTTGAGGTTGCTGGTTAGTTTTACTCACATCTATTTTGCACACTAGGTTTTTGGGACCTGAAGCTCCCTTGCTGTTTTGCACCTGTGTTACATGATATGGAAACACTTTCACAGAGCATTTATTTGAATAAGTGAAACATTTTAAACATATTTAATTGCTAGTTATGATAAAGCAATAGAACTAACATTTCTGCTATAATATTTTTTCCAGTGGAAAAGTTTTATTAAAAAAATAATGGTACAAATAAGTTTTTGGTTTGACAGCAACAAAGGCTCATTTTCTCCCATCCCTCCCCATGTTGGTAAACAAACGCTTGCCGGGCCAACTTTATTAAAGGAAGAAAAAGTTCATCCCCATGATGCCTGACCACAGTCTGCCCAGGAGTACCCAACTAAGTATTTCCTGATTCCCCCAACTGGGGCCAGGGGTGCTAAGCAGCACCTAGTTTTACAGTTGAGTGGAGTTGGGAGGAGATTTGCATAGAGTTGGGGTGGAGACTGAGGTGGTGGTAGTGTCAGGAAAGGAGGGTCCACATTCCATGAGGGCTTGGCTAAACCCCCAGCTTGATTCTGTCTCAAGTGAGAAAGCACTTGGCTATAAATATAAACACTGATTGAGGACTAGAGGGTGGGGCATGACAACTACTGCCCAGGTTCTGTGGGATGTGGGGCTGGACTCAGCATCATAGGACCTGGAAGTCCATGTCCACGCAGAGTGAACTCTAGGAAGATCTGCTCAGACACACAGGAAGCCTGCTTTTCTCCTGCCCTCGCACCCCATGAAATATCAAAGGTCAGTACCTCAGCTCTCCCCACCCCCATTAGCACCCATGTGTCTCAGGAGCCTTAAGTTGCCTCCTGCCATCCAACACGTACCCCAGGGCCCTACAACTTGTCTTGCATCTTGTCACCCTTGGGCTGGACCAGCTGCACAATGAACAGTAGGGAGCCAGTTTGGGAGTCTCAACCCAGGAAAATAAAGGGGTGGTCAGCGGAGAAAAGCTTGGGTCTATGCAGCTCCTCATGCCCATAGATGTCCTGGTCAAAGGGGTTGCCCTCTGCATCCCACTTGAAGGCAATGACATGGAACACACTGGCCAGGTACAGGTCCTTTTTGCCTGATATTAGTGACAGATCTGTCTTGTTCTTGTTGATGGCCTCGGTCAGACCCAGGCCAGTCAGGTGTTTCTGCAGGTCAAGGGTCACCTCCAGCACACCCTTGGGCAGGGAGATGGCAACAGCCCTCTTTTGTGTCTTGCCCATCCAGATCTTCAGCTGCTCTTTGGTCAGCATCTTTTCAAGGCACTCAAGACGCTCCACATGGTGGGGCATAATAATGATGAAGCTGAAGAGCTTGTGGGCCAGGGGCATCTCCACGATTTGCAACTTCTGTTTCTCACCGTCATAGTAGTTCTAGAGGACTGCCGGGTGCACCATTGTGACAAACAATCTTTGGTGCAATCCCAGTAAAGGAGATAACAATTTCATTAGTGAATGAAACTAAATTTATTTTTACTCTGCACAATTTTTTGAGATTCATCCCATGTTGTAGCTGACATAACAAAATCTTTTAGTCAGTAAATCTTTTAGTTATGGCTTTATTTTTTCAGAAATAATTGATATGAGTATAATATTCACAATGTTATAGAAATGTGAGACTATGTGAATATTCATTTCATAGTTGGTAAAATACATAAAATATTGATGAACCCAAGCAGAAGCTCATTTAGAAATTTTTATTAGCATTAGGCATTAAATTTACAGATGTTGTAGAATCAAAGTTGTACACACACCATGAGACATTCATCATGAATTCTGATGGATGTTAATGAGAAAGAAAATAGCTAAGTAAGTAGTAAATAATAAGTAGTAGTAAATATATTTTTATGTATTTTACAATCTTTATACTATTTTTAAAATTGCTTCTGCTTAAAATTCTTTAGTAGATTTTTAATGATAAAAATCTTATATATTTACCCATGTAATGATCAATTCCATTATTCTTCACTCCTTTGTATAGATCAATATTTCCATCTGGTATCATTTTCCTTTAGAGAGAAGTAAAATGTACTGCACTATATTACATGTTCACCAGTGATGAATTTGTTCTTCGCTTATGTGTCTAAATTTTTTTTCATTTTGACTTGGTTTTCTTAAAAGTTTTCTTTACTTAGAGAGGGGAAGGGAGGGAGAAAGAGAGGAAGAGAAACATTGATGGTGCAAGAGAAACATTGATCAGTTGCCTTTCATATGCACTCCAACATGGGGCCAAACCCTCAGCCAAATATGTGCCCTGGCTGGGAATTGAACCAGTGACCTTTCACTTTGTGGGTCGATGCTCAACCAACTCAGCCACACCTATCAGGGCTTTGCCTTGGTTTTTAAAAGAATTTTTTAAAGATGTTTTCTCTGTGTATGGAAGTCTGGAGTGACTTTTTTTCTTGAAGTACTTTGGATGGCTCCACCGTTTTTTCACTTACTTTGTTTTAGGTGAGAAGTCTAACCTCACCTTGATTTTTGTTTGTTTGCCCCTGATATGTCATTATTGCTCTGGCTGTTTTCTTTATCATTGTTATTGATCAAATTGATTATAGTGTGCCATGGTGTCATTTTAAATATTTTTTTGTGTGTGTTTGGAGTTTGTTGAACATCTTGAATTTGTGTGTATTTTCTACCAAATTTGCTGTTGGGGGGGATGAGGGGAGATATTGCCATCGTTTCTTCTGGTAACAATCCCTTTGGTCTCTGATTCTATGAGTCTGTTCTTTTTTTTGTTTCTTCTGTTATTTTAGGTTCTACACATAAGTGAAACCATATGGCATCTGTCTTTCTCTATCTGACTTATTTCACTTAGCATAATACCCTCTAGATACATCCACATTGTTGCAAATGGCAAGATTTGGTTCTTTTTTATTGCAGTATAATATTCAATGGTCTATATATTACACCACTCTTCTTTGTCCATTCATCAGTCTAGTGCAACATTTAAATGAATATTCTCATCCTTAGCTTACTTATGGAAGGCATATTGATATTTGGTTGCTATGTATAAAAATGCTTCTGTAAAATATTTAAAAGTTTATTTTTGTTCTTTCACAGGAAAATCTTATATCAGAGAAGCATATTCTACAAATCTGAAACCTGGGAAATCTAAATTTAAGAAGATACAAACTAGAGTGTATTTAACGTGAAAACTGGGTGAATTAATATAAGGTTGTTAGATGCTGAAGAACTGTGCTTAAGGAAAAGGGATGGGAAGAAGCCAGTGAGAACTACATTCATTGCAGACTCATGCCCATCCTCTGCAACAAATCAGATATTGTTTTTCCCTAACTCAATCCTAACATTAATGCTGACAATAATAGCAAAATACAGGGATTTCTGGTGGCTCACAAACAAAATGATAATAATAGCCTGATTTAGAAGAATGAATGCTTTTCATGAAAATGTTTTAGTAATTTGTAGACTGTAGTTATATTGGCCAACATTCTGCTTTTAGTTCAAAGATTACAAACTCAAATACACATGTGAATCAAGGAGGTCATTTAAATGTGTAAAATGGATCCAGGGTTTACTAAGAAATTACTAGGATGATGATAAAGTAGCAAGTGCAGGCCTCATATAAGGGCATTCAATTTAAAATGTTTTTAAAATATTATGTAGGACGTACAAAACACATCTCCTGGCCAACCCACCTTTGTGGACATCCTATTTAATTAATTAGCATTTCAGTGGGGAAGAAAGTTAATCTGTCCTTATCACATTCAGGCTGCTTTACTTCATATCTAACTTCCACATTTTTTAAAAGAGCTTGCAGGTGGCTGTCACAGCTCCCAAGCAGGCTGGACACCCCTGAGCAGTGTGATATAGTTTCCTTGACAAGTATGCAATGGGTTCCAAAATGTTTGGAGTTTCTGGGCAGGTGAGCAGGTTTGGGTGTTTTTGCTGTGGCTCACCTGGAGGGGCCATAGAAGTTCCACACCCCAGCCACATACCTTGCCCTCTGCATCTCTCTGTTTGGTGGTTCCTGGCTTATGACCTTTTATAACTTCCACATTTTTTGAATCATGGGGAATCTCTGCATATCAGATCACCACACAGAGATACTACAATCAGCAGTAACTGTAAGACATGATGGTTTGCCACAGGAATTTTTGACCCCTAGAATATTAAAGTTAATAGGCGAATTTGAAAATGTTTTGAAAAGTTCTAATTAGTTAATTATACTTTGGAATAGTTGACTTTATTCCAGATATGAGCATGTTTATCTTCCTTTCAACTTAAAAATGGCATCGCTAATTTAATACATGTCTATATATTTTCTCTAGATTAAGAGGTCAGTAAATTTTTCTGTACAGGTTCAGATAATAAAACTTTGGGTTCACAGGCCACATAATCTCTGACACAATTACTAAAGTCTCTCTTTGTAGTGCAAAAGTAGCCATAGACAATACATAAACAAATGGGTGTGAATGTGTCCCAATAAAACTTTATGAACACAGATTTGGACTTTGCAAACAAAAGTGATATTTTCAAAGAAACATTTTCAGTACTATTTGTTTTAAAGGTAAACCATTAATAGGTGTCAAAATATCTGATGCTTAGCCAAAATTGACAAGTCAATATAGATCTTGTGTTTGAACTTTATAGTAGTTTCATTTTACCATAAGACTTCCACAGAGTATGTTCAAGTTGTGTTGGAAAAAAAGCAACACTGTGCCTCAAGGTGAACCCACTGTTATACAAAGACCAAACAAGGGAGTATCTGCCCTCATGGGAAGGCTTAGTACTTTCACTGTTTGACTCTGTATTGTGATAGTAAAGTACAGATAGATTTTAGATGGTTTTATCAATATTTTAAATTGTCTATATCCACTAAACTCTATTTTTCATACTTATAGCCTACCCCCAAGGGGACAATAGTGTCCACTGCCCCATCCTTAGAACTCTACCAGGGACCAGTTTGCGTGGTATCTGCTCACATGGTTAATTTGAGAGGTGTAGGAAAGCCTCAAACAGGTATACCATGAATACCTGAAATTCCACCATTAATAATAGAAATAATAGCCATGGTTAGTATGGCACAGTGGGTTAAGTGTCAGCCTGTGAACCAAGGTATCACCGGTTCAATTTCCAGTCTAGGGCACATGCCTGGGTTGTAGGCCAAATCCCTAGTGGGAGGCACATGAGAGGCAACCACACATGATGTTTCTATCCTTCTGTTTCTCCTCCCCTTCCTCTCCCCTCTCTAAAAACAAATAAAATCTTTTAAAAATAATACAAATAATAATTCTAGAAATGGCTGAGAATTACCATGTGCCACAAGTGTTAAATGCTTTACTTCTATTTTAGAGATGAGGAAATGGAGTTTCAGAAAGTGTGAATAACTTGTCCGATGACACAGAACAAGTACGTGTGATCCAGGATGAGGTACAGGAGGCAAGTAGGTTGGAGAAGGCTGTGTAGAACAATTCAGGAAAAAGGATGCTTGGGTGGTGATAAAAGAGGGTTGCATGAGAAAAACATGAAAAGGATAGGGTTAAAATAAGAGGGTATTTTTTTGTTCCTATCCTTCCCCAACCCTCTCCCATTTGGCAACCATCAGTTTGTTCTCTCTGTGGGTCTGTTAAAAAAAGAGTATTTCACAAGTTCCCCAATGGCTCCTTTTGTTTCCTAATGTATCTTTTCCTCATTAGCACTTAATTTATTGTTCAAAATATGCAAAGTGCTTCCAATATTGCTATTGCAGTAGCAAAAGGAGCAAAGGGAGGCAGAGAGACAGAGACAGAGACAGAATCAGTGTGAGAGAGAAACATTGATTGGTTGCCTCCCATATGGGCCCTGATTGGTGACTGAACCTGCAACCTTTTGGTGTATGGGATGATGCCCCAAACAACTGAGCCACCTGGCCAGGGCTGAAGAATCTTAAAGAATTATTCAAACCTTCTTAATAGCACTTTGACATAATACTATGCTAAGTGAAATAGGCCAGGCAGTGAAAGACAAATACCATATGATCCCACCTTTAACTGGAACATAATCAACACAAGAAAGAAGCAAACAAAATATAACCAGAGACATTGAAATTAAGAACAATCTAACAATAGCCAAAGGGGAGGAGGAGGGGGCTGTGGGAGAAGGGCTTTCTGGAACTACTATAAAGGACACATGGACAAAACCAAGGGGAAGGGAGGAAGCAAGGGAGGGACGTGGGTTTGGCTGAGGTTGGGGGAGAATGGAGGGGGGAAAATGCAGACAACTGTAAGTGAACAACAATAAAGTAATTTAAAAAATATTGAAACAACATTAACAAACATCACCATATTGTGCAATAATTACTGTAGTTATTTATTTTAAAGCCGATTAAATTTAATTTATTAGAAATACTTTAGGGACTTCTGCCAAGATGGAGGCATAGGTGGAGAAGCTGTGCTTTCTCTCACAACCAAGTTTAGAGACAACTAAATATTAGCAACAGAAAACACAGCCAGAACACAGAAAATTGAACTTTTCGGAAGTCTGATAACAACAAATTCTTCAGCCTGACCGGTAAGAGGGGCGAAACCAGCAGCTGTCGGACTGGGGTTGCACAGAAAAACTCAGTCAGACGGACTCAGGCACACGGAAGCCAGGCGCAGGGTTGAACCTAGTAAGCGACTCAGCGAGCGACCGCGGGGAAACAGCTAGGGAGCAGGTCTGCGGGTTGACTGTGGTCTCGCTTTCCTGCGCAGATAGACAAGCAAGGGAGTGGGCGGTGAGACTACGGGACTGAGCAGGCCCCATGGCAAGCCGCAGCAGCGGGCACCACCATTTCCCCGCTCTGACCCCACCTCCACATACAGCGTCATAACCCAGCTACCTGAGTAGCCCCGCCCTGGTGAACCACCAAAGACTCTGCTCCTCACCCAACTGCACGAAACCGCAGAGGGTACCGCCATTTCCCCGCTCTGACCACGCCCTCACATATAGCCTCACAACCCAGGGACCTGAGAGGCCAAGGCTCCACTACTCATACTTAAAGGGCGCGAACAGACCAAAAAAGGCTCAAGAGGATCTCAAAGCCCCAGAGCCTATAAATCTAAGCAATGAAGAAATAGCAAAACTCTCAGACCCACAGTTTAAAACACTGGTGATCAGGATCCTCACAGAACTGGTTGATTATAGCCACAAATTAGAGAAACATATGAAGGCAAAACTAATTGAAATGAATGGAATTGCACAGGAAACCAATAGCAATGAAAAGGAAACTGGGACTCAAATCAATGGAGTGGACCAGAAGAAAGCAAATAATGGCCAAACAGAAAAGAGTCAAGAAGCAAGAATTCAAAGAAATGAGGAGAGTCTTAGGAACCTCCAGGACATCTTTAAACGCTCCAACATCCGAATTATAGGGGTACCAGAAGGGGGAAAGGCACAGCCACCAGTGGAAAACTTATTTGAACAAATCATAAAGAAGAATTTCCCCAATCTGGCAAAGGAAATAGACTTCCAGGAAATCCAGGAAGCTCAGAGAGTCCCAAAGAAGTTGGACCCAAGAAGGAACACACCAAGGCACATTATAATTACATTAGCCAAGATTAAAATGAAGGAGAGAATCCTAGAAGCAGCAAGAGATAAGGGGACAGTCACCTACAAAGGAGTCCCCGTCAGACTGTCAGTGGATTTCTCAAAAGAGACCTTACAGGCAAGAAGAGGCTGGAAAGAAGTATTCCAAGTCATGAAATCCAAAGACCTACAACCAAGATTGCTCTATCCAGCAAAACTTTCATTTAGAATGGAAGGACAGATAAAGTGCTTCTCAGATAAGATCAAATTCAAGGAGTTCATCATCACCAAGCCCTTATTATATGAAATGTTAAAGGGACTTACCTAAGAAAAAGAAGTTAAAAAAAAAACATGAACAGTGAAAGGACAGCAAACTCACAGTTATTAACAACCACACCTAAAACAAAAGCAAACTAAAAGGACAGCTAGATCAGGAGTGGAAACATAGAAATGAAGATCTCAAGGAGGGTTAGCAACAGGGGAGTGGGAGGAGGAGAAGGGGGAAGAAGATACAGAAAATAAGTAGCATAGACAGTAGATGGAAAATAGATGGGGGGGCAAGAATCATATGGGAAATATAGAATCTAAAGAACTTGAGACACATGGTCATAAACTAAAGGGGGGTAATGGTGGGGATGGGGAGTAGGGTGCAGGGGAATGAAGGGGGAGAATAGAACAACTGTAATGGCATAATCAATAAAAAAGTAAAAAAATTAAAAAAAAGAAATACTTAAAAAATATATTGTTTTTGTACTATTATAGTTGTCCCAATTTTTCCCCTTTGTCCCCCTCCACACAACCTCACCACTGCTTCAGGCGCACACCATTGTCCATGCGCATGAATCATTCTTATATGCTCTTTGGCTACTACTCCCTATACTGTACTTATACCCCTGTGACTATTCTGTAACTACTAATTTGTACTTCTTAATCTTTTAATCTTTTCTACTCATACCCCTGGCCTCCCTATCATCTGGCAACCATCAAAACGTTCTTTGTGTCTATGATTCTGTTTCAATTCTGCTTGTTTGTTTATTTCGTTTTTTAGATTCAATTGTTGATAGATATGTATTTATAGTCATTTTATTAATATTTTTCTTTTCCTCCTCCTCCTCCTCCTTCTCTGCCTCCTCCTCTTCCTTTTCCTTCTCCTTCTTCTCCTCCTCCTACTCCTTCTTCTTCTTCCTCTTCAATAAGAGCTTTATTTAAGGTGATGTTGATGAATTTCTTTAGTGTTTTCTTGTCTAGGAAGCTCTTTACCTGTCCTTTGGTTCTCAATGACAGTGTTGCTGGGTAGAGTAATATTTGCTGTACGTCCTTGCTTTTCATCAATTTGAATATGTCTTGCTAATCCTGCCTCGTCTGAAAAGTTTCTTTTGAGAAATCAGCTTACAGTCTTATGGGAACTTCCTTGAGGTAACTGTTTTTCTCTTGCTGCCTTCAAGATTCTCTTTGTATTTTACCTTTGACATTTTAGTTATGATGCATCTTGGTGTGGGCCTCTTTGGGTTCGTCTTTTTGGGTACTCTCTGCACTTCGTGGACTTGTGTATCTATTTCCTTCACCAAGCTTTGGAAGTTTCCTGTTTTTATTTTTTCAAATATTTTTCCAATTTCTTGTTCTGACTCTCCTATTTCCGACACATCCATGATACAAATATGGGTATGCTTGGAGTAGTCCCAGAGGCTCCTTACAATATCCTCATTTTGGGGGGTTCTTTTTTCTTCTTGCTGTTCTGATTGTTTTAGGGGGGTTGTTTGTTTGTTTGTTTGTTTGCTTCTTTATATTCCAAATTGCTGATTTGATTCTCAGCTTCATCCACTCTACTGTTGATTCCCTGTAAATTGTTTTTTATTTCAATTAGTGAATCTTTTGTTTCTGATTAGATCTTTTTATGCTGTTCAGGTTCTCACTAAGTTCATTGATCATTCTTAAAACCATTGTTTTGAACTCTGCATCGAGTAAATTGCTTATCTCCATTTCATTTAACTCTTTTTCTAGAGTTCTGATCTGTTCTTTCATTTGGGCCATGTTTCTTTGTCTCCTCATTTGGCAGTCTCCCTGTGTTTATTGCTATGTATTAAATAGATTTTCTATGTCTTTCTGGCTTAGTAGAGTGACCTCATATAAGTAGGTGTCCTGTAGGATCCAATGGCAAAACCTCACCTATTACCCAAGGTGGGTACTCAGTGTGTGTATCCAATGTAGGCTGTGTACACTTTCCTGTTGTAGTTGAGTTTTGATTGCTCCTAGCACATTTAAGGTCAGCTACTGCCTGTGTTCTGTCTGGGGTCACCCAGCATAAGCTACAGAGTGATCTGCAGATGGCTGCTATTTGCACTGGGCTTGAAAGTGCCCAGGTGAGGCCAAGCTGTGAATGAAGGCTGGCTGCTGCTCATCCTGTGCCTCGGGAAACTTAGCAAGAGGTATAGGGCTTGCTGATATCAGATGTTGCTTGTTTGAGAGAGTTTAGGAAAATCTGAAGCATGGGCCAAAACAAGCCATTCATATGGAAAAGCCACTGGAAACAGCTTGGGTGGGGCCTGAAAGTTGTTTGGGGCAGGGCCTCAGGGAATCACCAGGATGGGGCAAACACTGGGATCCAGGTTGATAGAGTCTCAGACATGGTACCTGCCTGCTGGCTCCGTGGCTCTGTGGAGGAAGGGTTAAGAAAATTGTGGCTTCTGGCAGCACTTCTGTCTGGGAGGAAGCCTCCCAGCTCTTACCCTAATGCTGGCCAAGTTAGTTCCTCCCCATAAGTTTTTGATGCCTTTCAACCTGCTGCCCTCTTGCTGGAGCTCAGAGGGAGTGAGTCTGTGTAAATCTGTGTGTGTCCCCTTAAAAGGAACTGCCTGGGACTACAGAATTTTTGGTCTTCCACAACCTCAATACCTGATGCTTTTTACAGCCAGAAGTTATGGAGATGAATATTCCCAGCCCTGGAAATCTGGGCTGGGGGACCTGGTGTGAGATATCTTTCCCATTTTTATCTGCCACACATGGCTGTGGAATTAGCCCCTTCTGCATCTCTGTCCCTCCTACCAGTCTCCATGTGCTTTCTTCTTTAATTCCATAGTTGTATGACTTCTATTCAGCATGATTTCTGAATGATGGTTGTCTGTCATTTAGTTGTCATTTTGATGTGGTTGTGTGAGGAGATGAGCTGTGTTTACCTGTGCCACCATCTTGACTGGAATATTTACAGTAGTTTCACTATTAAGTAAGATCATCTTTTCTAACTCCTAAAAAATATTTAAGGCTGTTTGAAAAGTGGGTCGATTGCATAAAATGTAAAGGTAGTTTGGGTCTCCTAGAAAGATTTTAGCACTGAACATGCTAGGGCCTTATATGTTTCCTGGTTCAAAAGAGGCATGCCTTATTTTGGCAACACAGATAGAATGAAAGGAAAAGAATAGAAAAAAAACAAAATGAAAGTCTACAATTGGTAGAAAGAAAAGGGGAGGATAGGGGAAATGGAGTCAGTCATGTTCCCTCACTGCTCCTGATAAGGAGTATTCCCATAACCTTGAGAATTGGCCTACATGCACAGAATCACACTTTGTTATCTTGGCACCCTGTTGGCTTTGTGTGCATTTAGTATATAAGAGAGTAGGGACTTCCTA